TTTTAAAAAAAAAAATAATTTAAAATAAATAAAAATAAAAAATAAAAAAAATAAAAAAAATACTTACCGTACCGTCCTCGCAGATTCGCGAAGCCCATCTCGACTTCCATGGACATCCTCACAAACTCACGAACCTAATTTTAGAGAGAAAAGGAGAAAGGTAAGTATTTTTTTTTTATTATATTTTAAAAAAAAAAAAACTGATTATCATGTTGCACATTAAAAAAATCTTTAATTATTCCGTTATACTGACTCAAATATTTTTTCCGCTCCCAAATATTTGAGATGCCAAAATTAATTTGGAATGCCAAAATTTAATTTGGGATGCCAAAATTAATTTAGGATGTCAAAATTAATTTGGGATGCCAAAATTAATTTGGGATGCCAAAATTAATTTGGGGTACCAAAATTAATTTGGAATTTGAAACTTTTTGATCCTCGGGTCTCAAATAATTTTGACATATTTTGGCAGCTATAATGCCAAAATAATTTGGGATTTGGGTGGCAGGTATAGTACCTTCTACTAATACTAAATAATTCAATTTTAAGAAGGTAATTTGACACAGATCAATAATATTTTTTTTTTTTTTATCATCTTTTAAAAACATTATTTTGTTTTTGTGTCTTTTCCAATTTTCTTTTTGCTTATTTTTTTTGCGCTTCCTCCTTTTTTTTTAAGTTTTCTTCCTTTTTCTTTAAACTTTTTCTTTTTTTGCTGAGCTGCTTCTTTTTTCTATTGTGCTAATTCTTCTATTTCCCTTAATGCCTGTAACAATTTCTCATTAGTAATAAGCTAAACAAATAACAAGGTTTTCTTTCTCTTTTGTAATTGAACTAAAGCATCACCATTACTAGTCTCTAATTTATTAGTGAATTGTAGAAGTCAAGGAGTAGGATATTTCAGCACAAGCTTTAATGGGTAAATATCAGGATTCTTAAAGATTTGTAGTTCTTCCTAAATTGATGAATTGTTTCTTTTTAATAATAAAATTTTCTCTTTTAACAATTTATTTTCTTCTTCAAGAGTTACGATTTCTTCTTTAAGAGTTACAATTTTTTCTTCTAGTAATTCCATCTTTTTAACAATACCAGCTTTAGTAGCACTGGTTGAAAATTGATAAAACATACACATATCAGGTACCCGATATGTATATGTTTTATCAATTTTCGACCAGTGTAAAATATGTATGGATTGGTTAAGATATTTCATCAACAGTTTTTGGAATTTCTTTGTCAGTTTTCAGAGGTATATTATCAATTTCTTGAGATCATTAAGTTATTAACAAAAGATCAAAACGATTTTTATTAATTGCAGCAGGATTAAAAGGTCAGATTCCTGTAGTTTTATAAGTGTTGATAATTGTCATGGGAGTGTAGGTTATATTAAAAACTTTTTCAAGTACTTTAGCAAATATACATTTTGTTACTAGTTCATCTCTACTACTATAAAGCTCATCACATCTTTTACTATATTCTTTTTTAAGTTTAACAAATGGAATTTCAGATGGCTAAAAAATGTATGTAGTGTGAGTAGAAGTGTGAATAAAAAATTTCATTTTCATAACAAAAGTTAATACTTAAATAATTAATGTGACCCTTGTAACCATCAAGTATTAGAAGAACTGGACAAACAGGTGAAATCGAATTAATAAAGTAGTTGATATACATTTGAAAGAGATTCTCTTTCATGTACTCAGAGTCAGTAAATCCCATAACACTATCAGCTAGAGCTCCAGTCAATAAACCTGAAATCATACGAATACCTTTGTAGATAATTAATGGAGAAACATATTTATCGACAATTGAAATTGTTGGAGTAACGGAAATATAATTGATTTATGTTGCCATGTAAAATTTTATAAACTTGCCAAGTACTTTTTTTAGAAAGAACTTTTTGAATTTTGAGGAAAAGAATAAATTCAGTTTCATTTATGTTCCAAATACAATCTGCAGTAAGTGAATACTCTTGAATTATTATTTGAAGTTTTTTAAAATAATCATTTATAATAATCGGGTTTCCTCTTTGTGCACATGTTTCTGATAAAGCCTAAGATATGTAAAAAGATAAATCTAGATGATCTTTCATAAAACATGACACCAAGCTCTTTTCAGCCCTTTGTTAGTAAATGGATAATCATATTTATCACTGCACACAATCTTCATTACACAATGATTTATTTTTGATCTTGTCAATTCAAATTCCAATTTTTGCATATTCTTGCAATAACCTACTAGTTGTATTTCTTCATATATACTCAAGACAGTTTCAGAACCAAGACATTTGAACTATACATGTCTCCAAAATTAAAAATCCAAAACCTACCTGGTTAATTTAAAATAATCCCGAAATTGAATTCTGAAATTCAAATTAACCCTGAAATTATTATAAAAGACAAAAATATTTATGGGGTCGAAATTATTATGGGAGACAAAATTTAGTGTAACCTTAGTCAAAATTAACATTACAGTAAGAGACAAAATATTTGTAAAACCTCAAAATTATAAATCTATAGATTTTTTTTTTTAAAAAAATAAAACTTAGGGATTGTGCAGGTGATCAAGAAATGGCACAAGCTTTTTCTTTCTTTATTATTATTTTTTTAATAAAATAATTCACTACCTCTTAATTTACCCTTTTACCTTTCCTTAACTTACCTTTTTACCTCTTCTTAATTTACTTTTCTTCAGAATTGTGCTCTTGAATTCACAAAATGGCATAGGTAGGTTTTTTATTTCTTTTTTTTATTATTTTTTTAATAAATATATTTACTTACCTTTTCTACCTCTTCTTAAC